ATGTGGCTGGCGCCTTTAGCCGCTTGAGCCACAGCTCACAGCAACCTCTAACTCCTGGGCTCAAGCTAGTCTCCTGCCTCAGCCTCCCAAGTAGCTGGGACCACAGGCACCTGCCACAACGGCCTGCCTATTTTTTGGTTGCAGCCGTCATTGTTGTTTGGCGGGCCGGGCTGGATTCGAACCTGCCACCTTAGGTGTATGTGGCTGGCACCTTAGCCACTTGAGCCACAGGTGCCGAGCTGGTCTTAAAGTTTCTAAGGTGACCAGACATCCTGCTTTTGGCAGGACAGTCCCGATTTTTAACAATTTGTCCAATGTCCCACAGCGTTTTTAAAAAGTCCCAATTTTTGGAAAGAATGCACAACAAGCTAGGGAATGGCAGGAGAACAGGAAGGAAATACACGGTTTTCGGCTGCCATGTGGCTATTTCACCAGGATATAAGTTTTATATTATTTTTGTTAATTTTATAATGTTAAACTTTAATAATAACAAATAATTGTAGAGAACTGATTATCGAGAACTGCTTATCAAAGTTCACATTGTTGATCAGTTGTTAGAATTCGACCACCATTGTTTGGAATTAATAAACAATGGCATTTTTTGGCATTGGCAACCACGAAAATATTTTGTAACTGTCTCTCAGACAATACACATCATACTGCGTGCTAGTGCTAGTTAAACAAGTGATGTCAACAAATCAGCTATTCAGATAATTTAGGTAAGTTATTTATTTATTTATTTCATGAATTTAGCAGACAGTACTCGTATTATTTGTATTTTATAGTGGCAGCAAAAAGTCTAGCGCTGGCCTTGAAAGTGACACGACTTACAAGGTATCATTATTAAAAAAATATATTGATACGGAAAAGGTTAAATCTTGGGCATCAACAAAAATCACAATAGAGAACAAATGGTTAGAAATATTTCATCATTTTGAAACAAACCATGTTCCATACAATAATGCACTAAAAATTGTGGGATACACCCTGTCCTTACCAGGAATTAATGCTATGACTGAATGCGTTTTTTTCTATGGTAAATAAAGTATGGACATCAGAAAAATCACAATTAAGTATTGAGACTTTGAAAGCCATTTTATGTGTGAAATATAATTTAACAAATTCTTGTGAAAAATTTCATGACCTTTTAAACAATGACAGCAATCTACTAAAAAAAAAATTCACTCAAATGAGAAATATGCCAAAGAATAAAATACTATACATAATTTTTAAATGTATTATATTTGTAAATTGTACTTATATTGAAATTAAAAAAATATATTACAGTACTATTTTTGCATTCTATGAAAATTTTTGTTGCTCCATATAGCCACCGCATCGGCCTCATTTCACTCTTACAATCAAATATAGCACTAAAGAAATGCGTATGCTGTTTTTTTATTTTGATAGATAAAAATTTTTAAATTCTCTTCCTTCCATAAAGATCTTTCTAATCTTCTCTCTCTCTCTTTTTTTGTTTTTTTTGGAGACAGGCTAGAGTGCTGTGATATCAGCCTAGTTCACAGCAACCTCAAATTTCTGGGCCCAAGCAATACTCCTGCCCTAGCCTCCAGAGTAACTGGGACTATAGCTGCCTGCCATGACTCCTGGCTAATTTTTCTATTTTTAGTAGAGGTGAGGGTCTCCCTCTGGCTCAGGCTGGTCTTGAACTCCTGTCCTTAAACAATCTTCCTGCCTCAGCTTTCCAGAGTGCTAGAATTACAGGCATGAGCTGTGGAGCCCAGCAGAGCCACCAAGCCCAGCTGATTTTTCTAATTTTCATTCTACCAGCAATCTTTGAAAAAGATTTTCATAGGTGTAGATTGCCAAATTGCTTCTTTTAGAAGTTTTACCAATTTTCTATCCCATCAGTAATGTGTGAAAAGTACCTATTTGATAGCACACTTACACAATGTGTCATCAAACTTCTCAATTTTTTTTTTTTTTTGAGACAGAGTCTCAAGCTGTCCCCCTGGGTAGAGTGCCATGGCATCACAGCTCACAGCAACCTCCAACTCCTGGGCTCAAGCGAGTCTCCTGCCTCAGTCTCCCAAGTAGCTGGGACCACAGGCGCCTGCCACAACGCCCGGCTATTTTTTGGTTGTAGCCATCATTGTTGTTTGGCGGGCCCAGGCTGTATTCAAACCCGCCACCTTAGGTGTATGTGGCTGGTGCTTTAGCCACTTGAGCCACAGGCACCGAGCCAAACTTCTCAATTTTTGATAATCTGATAGTACAAGTAATATGTCATTGCAATTTAGATTTTTCACTTTTTATTATGAGTTGAGCATCTTTTAATATGTTTAATTGGCAATTTTTTGGTAAATCTTTTATTCATATATTTTGTTTGTATGTTGGGTGTTCATTGGGTTTTTTCTTTATCAATAATATTTGCTCATGGCTCACGCATGTAATCCTAGCATTCTGGGAGACTGAGGCAGGTGGATTGCCTGTGTTCACGGGTTCTAGACCAGCCTGAGCCAGAGCAAGACCTCTAAAAATAAAAACAGCCAGGCATTGTGGTGGGTGCCTCTAGTCCCAGCTATTTGGGAGGCTGAGACAAGAGAATTGCTTAAGTCCAAGAGTTTGAGGTTGCTGTGAGCTGTGATGCCAAGGCACTCTACCAGGGTAACAAAGTGAGACTCTCTCTCTCAAAAAAAGAAAAAGAGTTAAATGAAGTATGTTTGAATATCAATATGTTAAAGGACTAAATACATATATCTTAATATATCACTCAGGCATCATATGAAATCATCTCTATGAAGCAGATAGATGTGTGCAACTATGGAAAGATTCCAAGACTATATGTCAATTTCAAAATAGTATCAATGGGGTGATTATTTACACATATGTTAACCATAGAATATCTTGTGAAAAAATTCACACAAAAAGATAACATTGGTTTCCTTGAAGTTTTTTTTTATTTTATTTCATTTATTTTTTTTTGAGACAGAGTCTCACTATGTCACCCTGGGTAGAGTGCTGTGACGTCACAGCTCACAGCAACCTCAAACTCTTGGGCTTAAGTGATTCTCTTGCCTCAGACTCCCAAGTAGCTGGGAACACAGGTGCCAGCCACTACACCCAGCATATTTTTTGGTTGCAGTTGTCACTGTTCGGGCTGGACTCGAACCACCTTCGGTGTACGTGACTGGCACCCTTCGCACTGAGCTACGGGGCGCTGAACCTGCCTTGAAGATTATTCACTTAGTTTCTCTTGAATTTTGTAGCATGCATATTACTTATTCAAAATACATATAAGGGGCGGCGCCAGTGGCTCAGTGAGTAAGGCACCAGCCCCATATACTGAGGGTGGGGGGTTCAAACCCAACTCCAGCCGAACTGCAACAAAAAAATAACTGGGTGTTGTGGCGGACGCCTGTAGTCCCAGCTACTCGGGAGGCTGAGGCAAGAGAATCACTTAAGCCCAGGAGTTGGAGGTTGCTGTGAGCTGTGACGCCACAGCACTCTACCGAGGGCAATAAAGTGAGACTCTGTCTCTAAAAAAAAAAAAAATACACATATGATTTTTAAATTAATAGAAAACGAAAAACTGAGGTCCAAAGGTGTCTCCCTAAATGGGCGAAGATGCAATCTTGCGTTCATTAAACAGATGTTTGAGCGCTCGTCACGTGCCAGGCCACTGAAGAATGGGGTAGATCTCTCAACAATTAGGAGTGCCACCCCCTTTGCCCCAGAACTAGGGCGAGTGCGTGGGGGTGGGGGGACGGGGAGGAAGAACAGGCCTTGGTAGGGCGTAGGGCGGGGGTCGTGAGGCCCCAGAGGCGGTAGCAGGGCCTAACCGTTCTTAACGGTCCAAGGACCGGGACAGCGGCTGGAATTCAATTTTCCAAAGCCAGCCGCGCCTGCACAGAAACGGCTCCAGGGCTTGAGTCTTCTCGCCTGGGGCCCCCACCTGCTTCCCTCAATCCCCAGGGAAGGGCGGACCCTTGGCGTCCCCACTGCAGGCAGCTCCCTTACCATTGCAGTCGGAATTCGGGTCTCATCTCTAACTCTCCCACTGCCGTCTCGGTCCACATCATGTTGTCATAACTCAAAAGAGGGATAGAAGAGTGGGTCCTCGCCCTCTGTGAGGCAATGCCTTCTCTTGATCTCTCCATCTACAAAGTCTATTTCACGTTTTACAAAAACAAAGTTTTCCAGGTTCCTCAACCGGTCACCATACATGGGACCGATCGATGCAAAAGATCGCAACAGAAACAGCGGTGGAGCATTGCCCACTATGAGACTGCTTTCCTGGTGACACCAACGTGCGAACTATGACACCCATCAGCTATTCAACCCCCTCACACCTCGGTCCCCGCCCCGGAGCACCAATTTCCACCCCCCCTCCAAAAAAAAAAAGCTTAGGAGATGGAAGCCTCTGGGTAATTGGCCTGAGGGTGATCTGTGAGGGCTCGGTAAAGCTTCTAACTGGCTGTTTAATTCTCTGAAGGTGTGATCTCAATTAGCAACAGCTGCTCGTCCTCGTCTTGATTGGCTGACAGGCTGAGCCGGCCTCTGGTTCCATCCGGGTAATTGGGTATGAGCGAGCCAATTGGCTGCGTCGCTCAAGAGCGGCTCGTGGCAGGATTGGTTGTGGCGGGGGAAGACGATTGGTCGGACTGGGAGCGGGGTGTTGATTGGTGAAGGCGGGCTGCAAGGGCGGGGAGGCGGCAGCTGAAGCGCCGCCCGCTAGGCTGCGAGTCCGGGTGTGGGTGATGAGAGGTGGCGGTCGCCAGGGTGAGGTGCAGTGGAGCTCGCTACGGCCGACTTAGAGACGTGGTAATCCAGAGCTGGGGTTTGGGGAGCGGGGGAGGCTGGGCCCTGACAAATGGGGTAGAGAAATGTCCGTGAGGGAAGAGAGGAGGGCTACGCGCCCCGCAGCGAGGTGGGGGTGGGGGCCAGGACGGGATTCGGAGCCCGGGCTGTGAGCATTGCTTAGGGTAGCGTTACCCTCCCAAGGCTTAGTGACTACCCAAGAAAATGCTCTGGGTCCAAGTTGGGCCACAACGACCGGGTACGGGAGGGTTTGTTTTTGCCCTGAGTCAGTTGAACTCTTTGATTGGGTCTTGAGACTGAGGACCACTATCAGTTTATCGCTTTGTTTTTTATTGTTCTCAGATTTTCTTTAGTTGTCTTTTATTAATAGGATGGCTATTTACAGTACTCAGAATAATACCTGGGAGTGTTTATTCCTTAGTTATGGGGATTGGCTGGAGACCCCCATTACAAAGCCTTATTTTTAGATCTTTAGCTTGAGAGAAACAGGTTGAAGCTCTTTTTTACTCGTAATTTTAAAATAAACGTACCAAGATGAGGAAATTGAATGAGGAGCTTCAGCTTAACGTGTTACCATGTTTAGGTACTTTGAAGATTTGAATTATCAAGAGATAATACTTGATAGTATTATCAAGTATCAAGAGAAGGATACTCTTTCCCACCTGGAGCCCTGAATGAGCTTTTACTCCTGAATGTTTTTGAAATGGTAGTATAAATGTACATGATGGTTATGCTTATCAGATAGTTGTTGGCAGCTGTTTAATACAAATGTCAGGAAACTTCAAAGTTCACTTTTATTGAAAACCATTATCTCAAATGACCCACATATGTCTCCTCTTCTTAGCTTCCCTTAGGACCTGTGGTGTTTTTTTTGTTATTGTTTTAAGTTTTTGGGCAGGGCTGGGTTTGAACCTGCCACCTCTGGCATATGGGGCCGGCGCCCTACCCTTTTGAGCCACAGGCGCCACCCAGGACCTGTATTCTTAAGTTCTAGTCTCTTCTCCCTTCCCATTCAATTTTAATTAATAAAATTAAACACAGCTAGCATTCCATACTATACATTTATCTCCATTTCCGTTATATTATTGCTGCTTGTATTTCATTTTTTAAGAGAAACATATACCTGAAAAATAGGTAAATTGTAAACAAAACTATATTTGATTAATCAAGTAGATTTTCTTTGAGACATCAGCTGATAACTCAGCACAAATTCATTTACATATGATATCTAAAGAGGAGCTTGCCAAATTTAGCTTTTGGTTCAAACAGAAGTTGCCCAACAAACTTATCCTTGTCGTGACTCTTCATCTACCTGCTACTGACTTGTTCAACCACCAAATTGTCAATATTCTCCATCTCAAACACCAGCATCTACCGTATACTCAAACCAGAAACCTAATAGCTAACTCCTAGACTCTACCCTGTACATTTCCATAAATCAAATGCTAGGTCTTATATATCCTACTTACTAAAACTCTATAATCCATCAACTTCTCACGTCTCCATCACTGACATCTGGACTAATCTCTGATTGGTCTCCCTGCATCCACTGTTGGTGCCTTCAGTTCTTTTTCTCACTACAGACACCCATTAAATCAAAATGACAAGCATGGCACATGTTATGAAGGGATGTTTGGGATACTGTAGAAGCCCATCGCAATGAAACCCAACAAAGTGTAGGAGGTCAGGATTCAGAGGATTTGCTTGCAGAGCCAGAAGGATCATCAGATATCCTTTTACTTTGACTTGATTTCAGAACTGGGGGAAAAGGGCGGTACCTGTGGCTCAAAAGGGTAGAGCGCTGGCCCCATATGCCAGAGGTGGGGGGGTTCAAACCCAGCCCTGGCTTAAAAAAAAAAAAAACTGGGAGAAAAAATGTTAGTCCTTTGGGCCTCTGTAAAAAGTTGTGATAATGGGGTGGTGCCTGTGGCTCAAGGAGTAAGGCACCAGCCCCATATGCCAGAGGTGGTGGGTTCAGACCCAGCCCTGGCCCAAAACTGCAAAAAAAAAAAAAAAAGTTGTGATGATGACTGACCTTCAAAACAGACTTAATTAAATATTTTCCTAGCACACTGCATTGTGTAGAAGTGATTAATTAGCTGTGTAACCTTAGGGAGATCTTTTTATATCCCTGAGCCTCAGTTTTCCAAGTTGTAGCATCATTAATGGAATCAAATGAGTTTTGTGGTCCCTTCTAGTTTTAAAATTCTGTGATCTCTGTGACCTGTAAACATGAATTATGGCCAGAAAGGTGGTGTTAAAAGCAGACAGTGTGAAAGTACAGAGAAGTTTATTGCTCCTGTTCACAGGGCTAGATTTCTTTCAGTTTCCCAAAGCCTTTAATTTCTAAAGACTCCTGTCTTTCAAGACCTTTCCTGGCAGACAGGAAGCTCCATGAAGCTAACTAAGTCTATCTTGAGTATTATATTCCCAGGGCAAAGCATTTTAGGTAATAGTTTGTTTGAATACAGAAGAAAAGTGAGTTTTATTTTAATGAGATTATTTTCAACTATAAACCATCTAAGAAACTTTTTAAGTTCTAGCTCTCCTCAACTATTGGATTGACCAAAAATGTATATAGTTGTCCCTCCCCTCAGTAACTGCAGGGGATCTGTTCCAGGAGCCCTGAAGAACCAAAATCCAAGGATGCTGAAGTCCTGTGTTTAAATTGCCATAGTATTTCCATATAACCTGTGCACATACTGTAAATCATCTCGAGCTTGCTTATAATACCTAATATAATGGAAGTGCCTTTTAAATAGCTGTACTTTTTAATTGTATTGTATTGTTACTTTTTACTGGTTTTTCCCCTTTAATCAGCAAATATGGAGGGCCAAATGCATTGTGTTTGCATTGCCATGTAATTTGTTGTTTTGATATTTATCCTTCCTGCTAAACTATCCCATAGCAGGAATTCTTTTCTTTTCTTTGAGATGGAGTCTCACTTTGTCACCCTCAGTAGAGTGCAGTGGCATCACAGCTCACAGCAACCTCAAACTCTTGGGCTTAAGCGATTCTCTTGCCTCAGCCTCCCAAGTAGCTGGGACTACAGGTGCCCATCAT